TATTGTCTCTTCTGATGTGTGTCTTGCTTGCCTGCTGAACTAAAGTGAAACTGATATCTGTTTCTGAACTCCTGAGCTGCTGTTCTGCTTTGAACCTGTAACGTGTCTGCTTCTGTTTGAGTTTGCTCCACGTTGGAGAAATCTACAAGTGGTATTGTAAAATTTACTTTCTGTGTTTATAAAGAAGTTAAATGAAGCATCAGCCCTCTGGTTTACTTTTCTGGCCCTGAATTTACTCTGCAATACTCTGAACACCTTCCATCCTTGGAATTCTATGTTCTGTGTTCTAAGTGGGTTTGAGGTACAGGGAAGTCACAAAATAGTGGGTGGCTTTCATTCATTTGGGGTCTATTTTCTAGAGATGCAACCCATATTTTGTACAAAATCTTATGTACCATTCCCTTAAACTCATTGTAATTTGTGCTTAGATTTGAAGGTTTAATTGATTTTTCCAGCTAATTGGATGAATCAAAGGTGAGAACAGCAACTACAGTACCAGGAAAGGATGATATCCTGCTCTCGGCAGTCCTGTCTCAAGATTCAAGATTTGCAACAGCAGCTCTGTCTCCCTCCCTTACAAGGGAGCCAGCTGTTCTGAACAGCTTGAACTTGTCTTATAAACTTCTTGTTCTGGGGGATTGAGAGTGAACTGGAAGGAAAAGAAATATTTATTTAATCAATTTATTTGACTGCCAATCTCAAACAAATGTCCTTGGGCAGCTAACAATAGTAAAAGTGAATAAAACCAAACACACATACAAAAATTAGAAGGCAGCAACTGAGAAAAATCACAAGCATAGATTACCATAACTAGAAGACGGGTTCCTTTGCACATCTGGTGCCCCAGGCTCTAGCATAAAAATTGCTATGTAAGATCTTACGAAAAGACGGCAGGGTTGCAGTCAGCCTGCTCTCTGGAAGGATGATGTTCCCAAGGGTGAGAGCCACACAGAAAAGCTTCCCCTTATGGTACAGCCCAGAAAACTAAGGGACCAATTGGGATTGTTCTGGCGGGTCAGCTAATCAAAGTCCTCATCCGCCATTTGGAATGAGAGGGTGGCTGGAGTTCAGAAACGGATTGCATCTGAGCAACTTCTCCTGTCCCGGGGCCCTGAAACTCCCTCTGAGAATCTAAAGGAGATGAGAAGAGATACCTAGAACAGCACTGGTGAAGGACAATGTCATGCTCCATCAGAGTCTTAATCCGAGAAAGAAGCTGGACAGCTGACGGGGAATGGGAGTGTGGCTTTGTTGGCTGGGGAAGGGCAAACTCTGACTGGGCAGAGCAGGACAGAGGTAGAACAAGGGAGAGGGAGTTCAGAGGAAGAACCAGGCCCACCCACTCTTCTTCCTAGGGCACGCAGGGAAGAATGGAGAAGAGAGCAACATGGGTTGAGAGGCTTACAGGGAAGGAAAGGGCCCTGATTCCCTTTATTAGCCACAGCTGGGAAGACAGTTGATAAGAAAGGCAGGCTGCGTGCGGCAGGTTGTTGGGAGCAAACGTGACTTTATCCTGTGTTGTCATGGCGTATCTGTGTTCCCAACCATGTGAGTTTTGCCATGCCTTCAAGTCTGAAATTCTTGCTCCTGCCCTGCCAAACTAATTAGTTCAGTTTGGCTTGTTTGGATTTTAAGTTACAGTTTGGGTTGACCATATTTTGGACTTAATTTTCTGCAATCAAAGGTTGTTCCTGGGAGTTTTTCTCCAGACAGAAGGTAACCTGGGCATTGGTGGCAAAGTTGGAGATAATAAAGGGACTCTTATTGAATATCTGACTGTATTGCCTTTGTGCCACGCTCCGGGTCATCACAGACAAGAAGCAAACCTGATTGAACATGTCCTTTTAACGATGAGGCCTACCTCATTGTGATAAGGACAGCAAAACATTACTGTTTCCCTGCCCTTATTGCATCTACAGATAGCCACTCATTTTTTTAAAACAAAGCAAACACATAATTGATCAACTAAATCAGTGGACCCAACCTTTTGGACACCAGGAACAGTTTCCATGGAGAGAGGGCTTTTTGTGGACTGGAGGGGATGTGATTTGTGTGCTGCCTGTATCCTGCAGATGGGGCTTTGCTTGTTTGCGTGGCCTGGTTTTTGGCATGCTGTAGCCTGGCGCCAGTCCATGGACTGGAGGTTGGGGACCCTTGAAATAAGTGACTAAATGTAAAAATAAACAACTGAAAACTGATTGGGTTTCCAACCTTCTTCGAAAGAATCTGTGTCATGGTATATCACAGTGGTGGCTAACCTTTTTGGGTTCCTGTGCCGAAAATTGCACGTGCCAGAACCCAGAAGGCAATGCGTGCAGGACCCGAACACCCCCTGTGCATGCATGTGGGGACCCCCGCGCTGTGAGTTCTGCGCATGCATACATGATCCCTCCACACGCCATGCATCTCTGCACCATGCACATGCAACCCCCCTGTGCCATGTGTCTGTGCATGCAATCCCTGCACGCGCCATGTGTCTGCGCATGTGCACACAATCCCCCACGTGCACTGCACATCTCTGCACATGTGTGCGAGACCTCTGTGCATATCTGCGCATGCACACGTGTCTCCTTCACACCCCCGCCCCCGCACATGCGCACCAGATATCTGACAATCAGCTGGCAGGCGTGCATAGTGGGGCACTTCCAGATGACCTCGTGTGCCAGCAGAAGTGGCTCTGCATGGCACTTCTGGCACTCCTGCCATAGGTTCGCCATCACGGGTATATCACATCTGTGTTAACATGGGACAAGATGTTTTGATTGGCTGTTCCTGGAATTCTGGTTGCTACTCTAATTTCTACTCTGTGGATGGGCAGAATTTTCATGATGATAAACTTTAAAACCATCGAGTTTAATTTGTTTCACGTGCTCACAAGCTTCCTTATTAAAAGAATATTTATAATCACATGGTTATGGTGTTTTAAAAATTCATAAGCACTGATACTGTTTTACAGACAGTGGTCTACTTCATAAGATCCTTTGAGTTCAGATCTTTCTATAAAGCACTATTAAGTTCCAATTTGTTGTTTTTGCGACAATATATAGCAAGTCATTTTTCAGTACTTTGGTTCATTTTTCCCCCTATGCTGCTTATCACAGTTACTAATGGCTTACACACTATTGCAGTGGTGGCTAACCTTTTTGGGCTCCTGTGCCAAAAATTGTGCGCGCGCTTGCACGCGCGCACTCACATGCCAGCACCCAGAAGGCAATGCACGCCCCCCCACGCTCCCTACACATAATCCCCACCCACCTACGCCCCACTGCCCCCTTACCTGCACTGCGCCTCACAGCTGATTTTCGGCCGGTGTGAGGCCTTTTTCGGCCTCCCAAAGGCTTGAGGAAGGCTTGTGCAGGCTTTGCAGGCCGTAAACTAGGCCCATTTTGTCGCTTCCGGTATTTCCAGAAAAACAGGAAGTGATGAAATGGGCCTAGTTTTCAGCCTGCAGAAGCCTTCCTCAAGCCTTTGGGAGGCCAAAAAAAGGCCTCAAAACTGGCTGAAAATCAGCTGTGAGGCACGCATATGCCCAATGAGGTAAATTTGCCGGCAACTCACGTGCCGGCACAAATGGCTCTGTGTGCCATCTGTGGCACACGTGCCATAGGTTCACCATCATGGCACTATTGTATTTATGATGCACTGAAGATGTATACTATTTGGATTTATAGGTGACTGCATTCTGCTGAGTGCAGAAGCAATAGTAGGAGAGGGTCTTCTTGGTTGTAAAATCTTTAGCCTTCTGCAGAACTTTTTGGTCAAAGTTGCATCCATATTATAATACATGGAAGCAATAATTCTCTCTATCTGAGGAAAAAAATTCATGGAACAGGATGAAAAGCACCCGCTTCCTATACTGCCTAATATTTGCTTCTTTGGGTGGTTGATAAGATCTGGAGACTGCTGACAGTTTATGTGTCATGACACTGCAGGTGTTTATACCAAAATAAGCTTATGGTTAATATGTTAGAGTACTTGGCCGTCTTGCAAGATTTCAGCCGTGTTTTTAATATTTGGGCCTAGCAGTTGCTACCTATAAAAAAACATGCTGACTCAACTTGTTCAAATAAAGCTATGGCCCAATCCCCTGTTTGGTGTGCTACTGGTTTAATTAGCACCTCTTTAATAGGATTTAGTTGAAACTCTAATCACAGTGCAAGTCACAACACTGCAGGATTATGAATGGTTCTAAATACAGTACTTTCTTTCCAGACTATTTACCCAGTGTTTACCTTGTTTTATTAAACAAACAACTACTTTAGAAGTCGTCAGACTTGCCAGAAAGGACACCAATAGATCACTGGCTTGTGATCCCCCCCCACCCCGGTTTTGGGCAATACTTTCTGCAATGATTCATTTGCCAAGAACCACTTCATTATCTGCCACAGAATGCCAGGGTTTTAATTCCTAGATTGATGGCTGAAACGTACTTGTGGGTTCCTTATTCCTGTGCAACATCAGCTATGCCTTTTATCTCCAGTTTTGTGAAGAATGCCTGAGGTTTTTTCTTGAACAGAGTCTGAAAGCTCCAGTTCTGAAAACGAGGAAGATAACAACAATGGCCAAATAGTAACACCACTGCTACATGAACTATGCTGGCTTCCAATTGCTTTCTAGGTCCAATTCAGGGTGCTAGTTATCTCCTTTAAAGCCTTACATGGCAGAGGAGCAAGTTACTTGTAGGAGCACCTCTCATTGAAGGTATCTACCTGTCCTACTAGGCTAGATAGGGTGAGTATATTGTTATAAATATTGCCGTCAGATGGCTCTTCAGCCATGGAAGTCCTGTAAATAAATAAACACATGCAAACAAATCCTGATTACCTTTTCCTAAATATATTTTTCTTTTTTTTCTTTTCTCTCTCTCTCTCTCTCTCTCTCTCTCTCTCTCTCTCTCTCTCTCTCTCTCTCTCTCTCTCTCTCTTCCTTTCTTTTTGCAGAATACTGAAGTCTTAATCTTCCCCTTATCCTTATTCACCTGATTATTTTTATTGATACAGTTGCCTGTGGATTATGGGTACAACTGCCAGCACAGCCCAGCAGACAGTAGCAACAGCAACATTTGAGAATATTCACGGCAGTGGAGCCATGGAGGATCACCATTCCCTCAGCATACACTCCTTCCAGACCATTGGCCTCCACAATAACAAAGCCAAGTCTATCATTACTAATAAGGTGGCTCCTGTTGTCATTACGTGAGTTGCAACCACCAGCTATATTCTCTGCAGATCCTTTAATCTTTTTGTTTCAGCCCTCTGGAGCTTCGTTGTCTTCTAAGGGCTGTGATGTTGTCTATATAAAGAGTTAGGCCAGAGGTCTCCAAACTTGGCAACTTTAAGACTTGTAGACTTCAACTCCCAGAATTCTCCAGCCAGCTATGCTGGCTGGAGAATTCTGAGAGTTGAAGCCCACAAGTCTTAAAGTTGCCAAGTTTGGGGAATTCCCTGAGTTAGGCTAAGAAAAGAGGCCCAACATTTTTTTCCTTTCATAGTTTGTACTGAGTGTATGAACTTGGTACTCATACCTGGGGATAACAATAATTGAACAGCACAGCTGGAAACATCTGAAGAATACCAAATTAAGAAAGGCTTCTCTAAAAGCGAGCCATTTCTTCGTGTGGCCTACTAAATTGATTATAGTCCACTTGCCATGGATTATGGTTAGGGATTCTGTTCCCTCACCTGGTTTTGTTATCTCAGATGGGAATGGGCTGTAGAAAAATCTTGAAGCTGCAGAATGTTAGTGGTCTTCGTTGGTGTAACACAGGCACAGAAACCTGCCCTAGGTATGACAGTTTGAATGCAGTCTCTTTCTTATTCCTATTCCCCAATTTTAAAAAATTAGCCACAGCATAAAATATAATTAACAAGTTTTTGTTGGCATATAAAACTTGCAAGTTAAAACCAAACCTTACTAAGTTGATATGTTTTGAAACAAAGAATTGATGGTTTTGTTATTGGTTAAGCCAGACAGTTAGTAGCAGGATCCTGGAAAGCAAAAATGGATTTGAGAATTTTCATATGGTGGCAAATATGTTGGAAAATTGCTGTAATGAAACAATCATTTAAAGTTATTGACCATGTGAAGCACAACATAACAATTGTCTACTATCCAGTTCCAAGTTCATAGATAATCAAATCAAATAAGACTGTGTGTATGTGTGTGTGTGTATGGCTTTTGTGTGTGTGTATCATTGTATTGTTAATTACAATGATATACACACACAAAAGCCATACACACACATATGTATAGGATGATATAAGAATCTAGGTCTTAGTTTTGCAAGATAACAACTTGGAGATACAATTAATGTTATTAATTGGATTGTAATTTTGTATGGACTATATAACTATGTATATGTTCAATGTAAAATAGTACAGTTACAACAACTAATTTGACTTATGGCTGTGAGCTTGTTTATTTAGTGGCAGACTTTACCATCTGGGTAAGTTGTATCAACTTTCTGTGAATAGGAAATTAAGCAACAGAATCTTACGATGCTTATTTAATCGCAGAAAATATTCTAGTTGCAGAAAAACCAACCACGCAATTTCTGTCATGTGTTTCTTACAGCTACAATTGCAAACAAGAATTTCAAATACATGATGACTTATTGAAAGCCAGCTATTCTGTGGGGCGGATTACAGAATCTACTCCAGAACACTATCTTGTCCAGGTGAATGTTGCAGATTATGCATGGATATTCAGAAAGAGGTGATGATTTAAAACATTAAAAAAGATCTTTTCTGGGCCAAAAGACCAGCATTTTATTTCTCATAATGGCCGACAGAGGGCAAGAAACATGATGTAGCCTTCCTATTCTGGTTCCCTGCCCAATGAGTGGTGCATTGCAGCATGATACTGCTAAATATTTATTATTGAGCATTAATAGACAATGACCATAATAGGACTGTCTTCCATGAATTTGCCTGCAGATTTCATCTGCAGGTTCTCAAATCATGTTATTTTTGTGGAGATGTTAATTAACCAATTACCTACACTGCCTTCTTCTGCACATTAACATCTCTTCATTTTTTTGGTTATTGTTCCATTTAGGGGAAATATTTTATGGTCCGTGATGTATACGGCAAATTAGATGTCCTGAATACTTCCAGCACTTGTGGGGCTCCCAACTTTCGGCAGGCCAAAGGAGGATATGCCGTGTTCGGGATGGGGCAGCCCAGCTTTGGTGGATTCAAGCAAGTCCTGCAGAAGCTCCAGAATGATGGTCATAAGGTATGCAAGAAAGCCAAACTGAGATACACAGCTGGCTGGGGAATGTTGGCAGTTGAAGTCCTCAAGCCTTGAAGTTGCCAAGGTTGGACACCCTTTGCTGAAACAGTGGGTGAAAGTTCAGCATGCCTATTTGTGTTAGGACAAAGTTACGCTAAAGGACTCTTGTAGACCCCACATATTTTTCTGACAAACAGGGTTCAAATGCCACCTGCATTGTAGATACCTACATTTGCTTTTATGCACATGTCACTAGATGGGAGAAAACAGTGGAACTTCCATTTTCTCCCCATAGGCATTCTGATGTATCTTTGAGTTTTTTCCTAACGACAACAGAAATCTGTTTCTTGCAGTGTATTTTTTGTTCTCTTGCACACCTAGAAGTTTGCCCTTGAACAAATGCCCTGAAGGACAATGTGCAGAACGTCTCACTAAAGTCCAAACTTTTAGATAATTACTGCAGACCAGAAAAGCTTTGTACGTAAATCAGCATTTCTCTACTCTCTCTTGAGAAGGTAGCCAACACTTGTTCTCTTTGTCATGGCAGGAATGTATTGTGTTCTGCATTCGTGAAGAACCTATACTTTTTCTGCGTATGGACAATGATTTCATCCCCTACACTCCAAGAGCAAAGGAGAACTTGAAGGAGAACCTACACAATCTGCACAGAGGTGTCAAAGTAGAAGACCTGGAAGTCTCTATTCGAAAAGAGGTGATTTTTGAGGGCTACTTGAAGGTGCACTGCATTTGAGATTTTCTGGAGATACATTTTCCCACTTTTATTATGGGTAATCCTCGACTTATGAACTATCGTTTAATGACCATTCAAAGTCACAATGGACTTTACAAAAGCTACTGATAACCCATCATCAGAATTATGACTGCCCCATTCCTCCTAGTGGTCATGTGATTCTATTTCAAGTGCATGGCAGTCGGCTCACATTTACAATCAATTGCAGCATTCTGCAGTCACGTGTCCATGATTTGTGGAGGTGGGTTTTTTTGCCATTTTCTGCTAGAAAATGACAAAAAACTCTAACCTTTGGATAGGCTGGATTCACTTAACAACTGTATTGGCTTGTCTAATGATCACGTGAGTCATTTAACAACTTTGGAAACTTACAACCATTGTAAATATGGTCGTAAACTCAAATCCGATCGTGTGATGTCTTGACTTAACAACCACAATGACTTATGACTGAAATTCTGGGCTGTATTGTGGTCATCAGTCAAGAACTACCTCTAATATCATTTATTCTATAACTTCCACTTTCTTCATAATGTGTCTTGAGTATTCTAACTTATTTCTTTTCCGAGACACCATTCCTTTTAAAAAAGAAGCACAGCTTTAATTACATTACTATATAGTTATGCTGTCCCATTCACTCCCACATAATGGTAGTTTAGTGGATTTATTAATATTTTCCAGCAATATCCCTTCACCAGAAACCCAGAACTGTCGCAATTTAAGTCAAGGCAAAAGCAGACCAATGCTAGTCCACAGAGCACAAGGCACTTGAAAGTTTCCCAACAAGATAAACCCACCAGGCGAAGTTAAATGCATAATACAAGAAGGTTCATGAGGCAAGAAAAGTCCAGAGTTCACAAGGCACAATCCAAGCACAGAATCAAATCTAAAACAAGGCAGGAAACACACCGCTAGGAAATGAACACATTGTTCTCAACATCACCTCCCTCTGCCGGCTGTGCTAAATTGGGGCAGCCCATCAAGAAGGGTGAGGCTGCCTCCTCGTGAGTAATCTGGCTGACCTCATCTGCTCCTGCCTTTTCTCTGCCCTACGTGTTCTGGGATCAGGTGAAGAAGGCAGTTCTCCTTCCTCATCACTGACTGGCTGCAGCGGTGTGCTTTTCTCCACCTGAAGCCTCAGGGCTGTCCTGCTGTAGCCAAATCCCTCTTAGATGGCTGCTAAGAGCCACTGACCAACTCCCCTCCAGATGTGCCCAGAACTGGTTCATCCCCCCTCTGAGTTGACATCTGGAAAGTTATCTGGGAAAGCATCCGGTGGAGTATTTAGATATCTGCACAATACAGTATAAGCCTATCTGGCGTTATCTTGGTATCATAGTAGTCTTATGATCCAATCTTAATGTTGGTCCTGTAAGCTCTGCATGGACAACTTGAGATGAGTAGGACCAGAGCTTTTTCCTTTGTATCTCTACGATGAACCATTTAGCAAAGTCAGCAAGTAGGTCTAAGGAAGAAAACTGCATGTCGGCAGGTTGTATAGATAATGTTTTATAAAGCAAGCTTCTTCTCAGGTTGGTTTCTTGGATTTATCTGTTGAAGATACATGACTTTGCCCAGCTGAGTGAGAATATATATTACGTCTACAATGACATTGAACGTTTCAAAGATGAGCCGCATTCAGTCAAAATCTTCTGTGAAGAAGACATCCAAGTGACAGAGGAAGTGTACAAGAGGCCTGTCTTCCTGCTGCCATCTTATAGGTAAATTTCGGTGGAAGAGAATCTTGCCCTTATTAATAAATCTTATTTCTTTTCACCATTCTCTGTTTTACCTAAGTGGTAGCATTGCAAAACATTACAGGTAGTCCTCAATGTACAACTATTCGTTTAATGACCGTTCGAAGTTACAACAGCACTAAAAAAAAGTGATTTATTACTTTTTTTTCACACTTATGACTATTGCAGCATCCCCATGGTCACATGATCAAAATTCGGGCACTTGGCAACTGGCATGTATTTATGACAGTTGCAATGTCCCGGGGTCATGTGATAGCCATTGGAACCCTTCCCAGACAGTTTCCAGCAAGCAAAGTCAATGGTGGAAGCCAGATTTACCTCACGATCCCGTGTTTCATTTAACAACTGCAGTGTTTCCCTTAACAGCTGTGACAAGAAAGGTCATAAAATCTGCCTCGCTTAGCAACAGAAAGTTTGGGCTAAATTCAAGGTCTATCTGTATTCTAAGAATGTAGGTCATCTTTTTGAGCTGACAGGTTTATTAAAATTTAGAGGGAAATCCAGGCTGCTCTTACTTAGAGTCAGGATCCAAAATGACCGCCACAGTAAGTGTGACTGTCACATGGACAGGAAATATTTCCTCAACTTGAAACTAATCTGTTCGATCTCCAGGACAATTACTAGCATCCTGGCTTTCATGGGCTTTTTTAGGGTTAAATGTATCTGTCCTCTTCCCCCAAGTTTAAGAAAATTTGTGGTTTCAGGTGCTCGAGCTGGTACCATACTTCCCACTCAACTATTGTTATTTCTAATTAAGAGCATCAAAATTAAAGTTGGAGAACTATTTTTATTAGGCGTAATAACATAAAAATATAATAAAAAAGATAAATACATTATGCTGCATATCTTAACAGCTGCTAGGATTTCCTACGCACAATTTTGGAAGCAGGAAAATGTACCATCACAGGATGTTGTTATAAAAAAAAAATTTTAGACTGTGCAGAGATGGATAGACTAACAAAGCAAATAGCAGGAAACAAAAGGAAGGTAAAGGGAAGAGAGAAATGTAGAAAAGAAGGGGAAAAAAAGAGGGGGAGGCGTAGACCTCTGACTCCCTCTGGTGTAGTAGAATAAGCCATTAACATCAAACCTCCGCTTTTTACTTTCACATAATAGTATAAACTAACCATTTCTATAACAACACATCTATCTAATTGGTAAAACCCAAAATCAAAGTTTCATTTTTTCCCACCTAAGCACACAATCCAGAAACTGTTTCCAAGTAGAAACAAAAGTACTTACTTAGTGTCTTTTCTTTGATCAAAACAGTCAGTTTAGCCATGTCTGCTAACTCCAGTCAGCTTTTGCAGCCATTCGTCCATCGTAGGAACTGAAATATCCTTTCCATTTTTGTGCATAAAGTAACATTGCTGCAATCAACATATATAATAACATCAAGGTTCCCAAATCTTTTTCCATTAAGCCCAAAATAAAAGTTTCTGGTTTTATCTTTATATTCACTTTAATAATTTTCTTTATTAGAGTTTGAATCCTACTCCAATTTTTCTTTGCTTGATCACATGTCCACCATAAATGTAAGGTCCCTTCTTTCCATTTACATTTCCAGCATTCATTTGAAATACCTTCATACATTCTGAATAACTTGTCTGGTGTTAAATACCAGCGACACATCATCTTATAGAAATTTTCTTTTCAATTATAATTTAATGTAAATTCTAACCCTTTCGTCCACATATTCTCCCATTGTTCAAGCATCACATAATACAAATTCCTTGCCCAAGTCTTTACATGTTCACTTTTCAAATTCAACCTCAATAACATTTTACAAACCTTAGCAATAATACGTTCATCTCTACCTCACAGTGGGATTGTCAATTGATTTTTAACAAAGTCAAACCCGCAACTCTTTTTATCCAATTTAAATCTTTCTTCCAACTGCAAGTATATAAGCCAATGGCAGACACAATCTTCTGATTCTAACTCTTCCTTAGACTTGAGGGTGGGGTCACCAAAATTAAAAGAGATTATTTTAACCGTAGGTCCCCCACATTCCATCCTAACTCTTATTCCATTCCATTCCATTCCATTCCATTCCTTAATTCTGTGTTAATTCTAATCTATTCCCCTGCCCTCGCTCCTAACCACTCTTTCCTTCCCTACATCCCACCCCCTCCAAGTTCCCATGCTCACCCCTATTCCCCTCCCTCACCCTTCTGTGACCACTTCCAGATCCTCATTGCCCTTCTCCTCCCTCGGTCCTTCTATTTTCCCTTACCCTTGTCTTCCCCTCCCTATTTGTCTCCCTCCTACCTATTCCCTTCTCCTGGTACTCCTGCCCCTCTCCTATCCATGTCCCTCCCTCACCTTTCCACTCGCTCACCTCTGCAACCTGCAGGGATGAAGTCATGAAAACATTAGAATTCACCACCACCCCATTTGTTCTTTACCTGCCCTTCACCTCCCTGTCCCATTCCCCTCCCCTTCTCCCCCCCCCCCCTCTTGCTCTACTCTGCATCATCCTACCCTTCCTCTTCCCTGGCCACCTCCCCCTCTCCTCCCCTCCTCTCCCTCCCCTCCCCTCATCCTCTCCCTCTCTCCCTCCCTCCCTCCTCTTTAGCTCTTGTAATAAACCTGCCTGTATGAAGTCATAAAAACATTAGAATTGCCCCCTCCCTATTTGTGCCTATCTTCCTCTCCCTGTTCTGTCCCCCTCCCCTCCCCTCTCCAACCGGGCCCTCTCCACTTCTTCGTCCCCCTTCTCTTTTCTTTCTTCATCCTCCTCCCTTCCCTTCCCTCTTTGTCCTGTCCCCCTTCCCTCTCCCCATCACCTCTCCTCCGCATCCCACTCCACCTCTTTTGCCTTTCCTCCCCTTCCCCATCTTCCTTTCCCTGACCCTCTCCCTCCCCTTTTTATCCTCTTCCTCCCGTTCTCCATGCCAGTTCCTCCCCCTTTCCCCTCACCCTGATCCTGACCCTGGCTCTCAACCTCAGGCAGCCTCTCAGCCTTTTCTCTTCAGAGGGGGAAGCTTCCCCAGAAGCCCAGGAGCCCCACTGAAGAGCAACTTACCTCTGGGAAGGCATCTTAGCTTTGATGAACTGTTAACCGACAGCAACTGTCACTTTAGCCTGCAGGGATGAAGTCATAAAGCCATGAGAATTCCCAAGGAGATGACCTGTCTCACCTTACCCACCTATCAAAGTTCACCTTCTCCTCAACCTTTGTGACCTACACCCATGCCACACAAGGGTCTCCAGGAAGCTGCCAAACCAATTAGTAAAGCTGCCTACTTGTCATATGTCTCTCTTTCACCTTGTCTTATTTAGTCAGTGAAGCTCCTTCCGTTTCCCCATCAAAAGAGGCAGGGCGCTGTAAACATTTGAGAAATGACAGTGGAAATAGAACATGGAGGGCAAATTAAACCACATGCAAACGTATCCTAGGGGATCAATCTGCTTGTGTACCTCAGTGGCAAGAGGGTCTTCTGCTTGAATGGGGTTGGACTAGAAGACCTCCAAGGTCCCTTCCAACTCTGTTATTCTGTTATTCTAATGATGGCTCCAAAAAAGGTTGTAAAATCAGGTTGGCTTACATCAGAAGGGTCTTCAAACTTGACAGCTTTAAGACTTGTGGACTTCAACGCCCAGAATTCTTCCTCCAGTCATGTTAGCTCAGGAATCCTGGGAGTTGAAGTCCACAAGTCTTAAAGCTGCCAAGTTTGAAGACCCTTGGCTTACATGATGACCCACTTTCTAACCGTCACAAATTATGCCTGTAATAGGGAGGCTCCTTTACAGTTGTGAGTAGTTGAAGACTACCTTTCATTTGTTCCATTTTGACTTAATGTATTCTGTAAATTTAGCCAAACGGTACCCTTTTTCAACAGACATGGTTGAATAAACCATGGCTTTTTTTTTTTAAACAAATTTTATTAATTTTAAAGACAAACAAACCATCATTAACCATTGAATACATAAAACCTCTTTCCATTATAAATTTTACAAGTTGAATAAAACATTATTTTATACAACATAATTCTATTTTACACCATTTCCATATGAACATATAAATATCTCTTAGCAAATTTCTCATTATTTCTCTTTACTCTTATTCAATTTCATCATTATTATTATTTTTTCCTATATTTATCCAATTTATAGTTATCATCTTCATTTCTCTCTGACTTGGTTACCGTTATTCTCATCCAACATTCCTCCAAGTAAACCATGGCTTTTTGTCATGGTTAAAAATAAAGTCCTGGCTTTTTACTACGAAATGTATAACTGTTGCACGAGAAAGCAATATTGTACCCGAATTCCTTCTTTTCGTCATGCCAATGTGCTGAATTAAATGTTTTCTAAATGTCTCTATCCAAGAACACTTTGAAAGCTTGCCTGCATGTTCACCGAGGGTGTTTTCAAAAGCTGGAAATAATTCATTTTTCTCGGTAGGTACCATCGGCTGCCTTTGCCTGTGGACGGAGCGCCTTTAGAAACACAGTTTGATGCTTTCATCAGTTTCCTCCGGGTAAGACTTGATGCCAGATGTTAATCTACAAGCTTTCTTTTATTTAATAAGCTGACTTGGAAAAGGAAGTCCATGCAAGATGCTTGTTAGCAGAAGCTGGAAATTCTTCCTGTTGGGTGGAGATACTACAAACATTTGCTTTCCCTCCCCTCTGTATTTACATCTGCCGAGTGTAGATTCATGCGTCTATTTCTGGATCCCTCTAGCTGGTGTTTGAACACATGCATTTGCTAGACGCCTGTATTTGCTTTTGGATCATGCCTTACTGTATAGTTTTGTTGTGCCAAATGTAAAAAGGCTAATATCCCTTTCCCCAAACACACATGGTAAAAAGAAATACTGCACAAGCCAGCAAGAAATTAAACTTTGAAAGGCCTGTTTATTAGAAACCCATTAAAATAAATGCTTATTTGGGGGTGTGTGTGTGGATGAATTCTATAATACTGAATTTAATTAATGGGCATCCAATTGCTAGCTGCAGTGCCAGTGTTTACTTTGGATGTTTCATTGTTTTGCTAAGGCTGGAGACAGTTTTGGGAGATATTAAAAATATGCAAAGTGTCATGGGAACAATTACAGGATATATTCTAAGCTGTGTTTAAAATGTGGAGTTAATTTGATTAAGAGAATGAGAGAGGCTTTCCTCGTTTTGGGAAGCAATAAGCCATTCAATTGCAATTATAGAATGTTTTGTTTTTCTAAAAAAAGATTGACTTTTAAAATAACATGAGACTTCACATAAGATTTTTTTTTAATTACATAAGATTAAAAGGTAAGTCAGCTTGGTGTAACGGTTAAGGCATCAGGCTAGAAAATAGGGAATTCTAGTCCTCCCTCAGGCACTAAGCCAACTAGGTGGCCTGGGACCAGTCATACATAGTCAACTCTAAGAAAAAGACAATGGCAACCCACTTCCAAAAGCTTGGCAAGAAAGCTGCAGGGTCTTATTATCTAGGCAATTTCTAGAGTCAAGACTAACTCAAAGACACACACACACACACACACACAGAGAGAGAGAGAGAGAGAGAGAGAGAGAGAGAGAGAGAGAGAGATCAGATGATAATTAGGACTGCAGAAAAAACAATTGCTACCAACTTGCCTTCCATTGAGGACCTGTATACTGCATGAGTCAAAAAGAGGGCTGTGAAAATATTTACAGACCCCTCACATCCTGGACATAAACTGTTTCAACTCCTACCCTCTAAACCAGGGGTTCCCAACCTGGGGTGCTTGCACCCCCTGGGGGTGCGAGACGATATTCCAGGGGGTGCGAGAAAAGTCCAGGTAATTTTTATTTATTTTTATTATTTTTTTAAATTTATTTATTTATTTATTATGCAATGGATTAACTTTGTTTTCATTTTAGAGTTAAGTATTGTTATTTAGTGGCCGTCACATACATAGCTGAAAAGATTCAATCCTACCATATATTTAACGCATTCAGTAGTTCCTAAAGTCTAAATTTCAGGGGGTGTGAGGTTCGAGTGAAATTTCTTTAGGGGTGCGGGGCGAAAAAAAGGTTGGGAACCACTGCTCTAAACGATGCTATAGAGCACTGCATACCAGAACAAATAAATCCAAGGACAATTTTTCCCAAATGCCATCACTCTGTTAAACAAATAATTCCCTCAACACTGTCAAACTATTTACTGAGTCTGCATTAGTATTACTATAACTATTAATCTTCCCATCCTTCCTTTCATCCATGTCCTCCCACCTATGACTGTATGACTGTAACTTTGTTGCTTGTATCCTTATGATTTTTATTGACTGTTTCCTAGTATGAGTTGATTGCTTATTGTACCATATGACAATTATTAAGTGTTGTACCTCATGATTCTTGACAAATGTATCTTTTCTTTTATGTACACTGAGAGTATACACATTCCTTGTGTATCCACCACACTTGGCCAATAAACCTATTCTATTCTATTCTATTCTATTCTATTCTATTCTATTCTATTCTATTCTATTCTATTCTTATTCTAGAGCAACAACACACAATGTGTGTGAACTTTAGAAGATTTGGTTTTGCCAGTGGGACAGGGGAACGCAGAGTGAGATAGGAAACCCATCAAATGGTTCATTTGACTGTGTGTTGTTGCTGGAGGGTGGATGTGGAGGGGTTAATTGGGTTTTGTTTTTTTTAATTTTGTAAAAATTTTCTATACTGTGTTTTTATTGCTTGTAGGCCACCTGGACTCGCTATGAGCGAATAGGCGGCTATATAACTTTTCTAAATAAATAAATACATTTTAGGAAGCTGAAAGTTATTTTTCCTCTCACATAGTTGTTTGAAAGTCAGTCTTTTGACCAGCAGTGGGATCCTCCCTGTTCAACTACCGGTTTGGTGATTGCGCGCACATGCCCGCACATCTAATGCCCGCACAGCTTTTCCCACATCAGTTGAGGCCTGCAGTGCTAATCAGCTGAGAGGATAAAGAAGAGAAAAGTGCAGGGGCAGGTGGGAAGGCCGATCTTCTTTATCCTCTCAGCTGATTGGCTTTTATTCCTCCTCAGCTGATAATTGGAGGCTTTTTTTTACTACCAGGTTGAGTGAACCGGTCCGAACCGGCAGCATATCACCACTGCTTTTGACCAAATGGCAGCCCAACGAATGTGTATAATTCTGTCTTTCAGGAAAGTCCAAATCTGCTCCTTCTCCAAGATCCCAGCAAGCCACCTCCTGCTCTGGTGTTTAGTTGCCAAACTGGTGTTGGGACGACCAATTTCGCCATGGTCTTAGGAACTCTGGTCCTCTTTCACCGTAAAGGTGGTCTACCAAAACAAGAGTAAGAGCTGTATCGTATCTCCTACTAAGATGAAATGAAATGGGGAGGAAGTCACGATTATTTATAGGCACTGAAAATCTGCTTACATCAAAAAGGAATGGTTTTGTTCCTATCTCAGGGACTTGTATCACAAACTGAGAGGAATTAGAAACATTTTCCCCTTACATATGATTAGGATATTAGTGAAATATGGATTGAACTACATTAATGATATAATGATTGTCAATTTTACTATTTTAGGTATCATCCAAAATGCAAGATTTTTGAATATCTGTAAGGGTGTTAAATAGCTGGCTTGGGAAACTTTGTTGAGCAGTATTTTATATGCAACATTAAGAGAACAAAATATAGAACAACGTATTTTCAGTATGGGCATCAAGATTTCAAGTTTGATCAAGCTGTCTGCTATAGCTTCTTTTTAAATTTAATTTAATTTAAGTGTAATAGTACCAACCATTATATTAATAGTACATCAAATGTAATAGATTGTAAATAAACCAATTCTTTGCTTCAGTAGGAATTTGTATTTTTCCCCTTTATGTAGTGTTGATGAGAGCAGCTTGAAGTGCATCACATAACTTTAATAAAAGCAAAATTAGAAAGTTTGTTAAACTTTTGTGCCATTCCATGCATTAAGGAATATCTTTAATATTATCCAATCACAGCCTTCCACAGTCTCCCAAATATTCACCCAGGGAACAATTTCGGATTATTCAGAACTTCATTGGCATAGTACCCAAAGGGCAACAGATAGTGGAAGAGGTGAGTGAAACTAATTGTATGTTTTTCTTTTCAGTGATCTTCTTGTGCTTCATTGCCCCTTATTCTCATTGAGGCTAATTAATATCTCTGACAGAGTTACTTGTCTCAATCTGTGACAGCCTCTGATAAAGATCGGGATGCTCTACAAATTGTGTAGAAGAACATACAAGTTACACAGACAAATTCATGGAGCCTTCTTTAAATGAACTATTACTGTATTTTTTGCTCCATAAGACGCACATTAACTTTAGAGGAGGAAAACGAGAAAAAAAAATCTGCCTCTGCTTCCCAGCATCCATCAGTATTCATCTGGCTAGCATCCTTACAGCAAGCAGCAAACAGCCTGGTCAGCTTCAGCACGTTATCGCCGCCTGATTTAGCACAAGCAGCTGATTGGTGGTTGGATCGGCCTCCCGAAATACCACCGATTGTTGCCCCTGCACACCCCATTTTCGGCCTCCACGTGTCCCATTTTCAGCTCGTTCCAGGCAGCGGGAGTTGCCACCATTTGCCGCCACTGTTCACTGCTGATTGCTGCCACCATTCATGACTGTTCGCCACTGCCGCCTATCGCCAAAAACGGGATGTGCAGAAGCCAAAAATAGGGCACGTGTAGGCAGGGGTGGGATTCAGTTTTTTTAACAACCGGTTCTGTGGGCATGGCTTGGTGGGTGTGGCTAGGTGATCATGTGACTGGGTGGGCATGGCCAACTCGACATCACTCATGTCAAGGGGCGCTTCTCCTCGCCTGGCATGACAGTGGGGATGCTGCAACGGTCATAAGTGGGAAAATGGTCATAAGTCACTTTTTTCAGTGCCATTGTAACTTTGAATGGTCACTAAATGAACTGTTGTAAGTCAAGGATTACCTGTACAAAAATACAAAAAGCTTCTTGGCTTGCAAAAAGCTGCCCTAAATACCAATCATTAGATTAAAAATACCTGCAAGCCAGAGTTACAAATCAGGCAGGGTGCCAGAGTACCTTGAGGAATGAAAATAGTTAAAATGCAGTGATAACTATCAAGCAGCCAACTCTTGCTCATAAAGTGAAACCCTTCAGCGGAGAGGTCATTTAAGCTCTCCAGAAAAAGCACCCTCAGGAAAAGCAATCCTTAGATCCATTTGCACCACTTAAAGATACCAGCTGGTCTCACCTCACAAGATATCCTAAGGAAGTCATCCAGATTTAGGGAAAGGTCACATGCCCCCCAGAAAAGTAGTAAAAAAAATCAGTGCCAAGCTTGCATCCTGCCTCTTGGAAGTATACCCCAAAAGGACAGTGCCAGATAGTACTAAAGCAGTGAAGGAAGACCGCCTCCCCAGATAGAAAAAGAAACCATGAGGCAGGAAAAAATTTAAACACAATACAAATAATTAAATCACAACAGTAGCTGTTGTTTGTTGAAGCTGAATAGGGAAAATTATCCCATCAATAAACACAGGATTAAACCTTCACCAAGCACAGAATTAACCTTCACCAAAAACCAGTTTTAGACCAAAACTCAGAAAGGGTATATAAACTCACATTTGAATGTCAATCTTTCTAGCTAGCCAAGAAGCCTTGTTGAATGTCATTCATCTTGGTTCCCTGTCACTAAAAGCTTTACTTCATTATTCAATTATTTCTTTAAAGTGCTGATTGTCCAGGGAAGTATTTCCTCCCAACAGCAGTGTAAAAATCTTAAAACAACCTTCCCCTTTAAGAAAGCCAAGCCTCAGAAGCTCCGGAGACAGGAAGTCTAGGCTTTCTGCCAAGAATGTAATAAGGGTGGAAAAAAACAAAAGGAGATTGCTTCTAACTACCTGTTCTCTGAACTGCTTAGAAAGTTAACAAGGGGTTCTATAGAACCGGTAGAATCTCACCCCTGCGTGTAGGCCAAAAACAGGGCGTGTAGAGACTGAAGGGTGGGAGCCAGCGGGTGGATGGGGTTTCGGAAATATTCACTCCATAAGACGCACAGACACTTCCAGATACTTTTGGGAGACAAAATAAGTGCGTCTTATGGAGCAACAAATACGGTATATAGTCTGTGTGTGTGTGTGAGAGAGAGTGGGTGGATTACAATTCTCTGTGTTTCATTACATTAATTTTAGGAGATGATCAGGCAGAGTCCGAGGGAGGGATCAAATGCGTCATCAGTCATAAGTCCCTGTGTGCCCAAAAGAGATCTAAGTCCAACCCATCTTGAATGCCTCCTTAATTCCTGCTCACTTCCCCTTCCCCCTGACCATTAGTAGCTCAGATTCTTGTAGAGAATTTAAGCTTGTAATAAATCTTTATACTCATTTGAACTGCCTGAATCTCCTAACTTCCCTGGTGCTTGACATTAATGTAGCCATTAATGATGAAAACAGCCTGATTATACAAAAAGAAATATTGAGTTCACCCCGTTATGACTAGAAAGACAATAAGCCTGCCTCACACCTGGATGCTCATCCAGAGGTTTTAGGACTGAAGTTCCCAGAATTCCCAGTGTTCACATTTGAAAGAGGCCATGGGAAAGCTGTACAAAATAGTGATATGTTTTATTGAAGAAGATATCTGAAGACATGGGAGTGGGTGGTTATTATATGTAAAAAGTAAACTGGGATAGAGATCACATTTTGGGTGGAAGTATTTTTAGCATGTATAGCATAATTTGGCCCTGTGAGGCATTACGATGCTAAAACTTCATTCCTCCTTCTGGTAGTTTTCCTCTACCTTTTTGTCTATATTTCAATAAATTAAAGCTTTTTATGCTGAGGTTATTTACAAACACAAATTTTTCATTTTGGCTGTGTCTTTAATGTCAGCATTTTCAGTATAGGGAAAAAGGAGGGGTTCATTTTTGAGAGGGGGAGGAAATCGGAAGTTTTTCTTCTCCAAAACTATTTAATTTATTTATATTTCATGTTTCTTAACTACCCATCTCCCTCTGAAATGATTAGAAACGGTCCTGCATTTCTTGAGGTTTGCCCATCCTACTTCACTGGTTCAAAATTCTGAAGCTGTACAGAGATTGAAGGACTACATAGTGCCTGTGCTTTCCCGTGTCTCATTTCAGTTAAAAAAAATATAGATTCCAGGTGACCATTAACAGAGGACACTGATAAAATAAAAATATGATTGAAGGGAATAAATTTTGACGTTTTCTCTTTGGCCTTCAAAGGTGGATGCTGCCATTGCCTTGTGTTCAGAAATGCACGATGTGAAGGAAGCCATCTATGAATACAAGAGGAAATTAGAAGGAATTGGAGAAGACTATCAAAACCAGGTATTAGTAGTTCTTTTTAAATGGTGACAAGATGCATGGCACTAGGCCTCGGCTTAGAACTGGTTGCTTAGCAACTGTTCAGAGTTACACTGGACCTTGAAAAAGGGACTTACATCCTGGTTTCCAAGTTCTTTTTTTTTTTTTTTTGACAACAATTTTATTGATTTTTAAAAACAAACAAAACAGACAAAACATAAAAACATCCAACTTTCTTTCATTAATATACAAACAGTGTATTGGTTGGTTTACCAATTTTTTGTGCTTTTGTGTTTTGTGTTTCCAAGTTCTGATGTCTTCCCCCCATAGTCACACAACCACAATTTACGACAATTTTTGCCAGAAACTGGTGTTTGCTTCAGGCAAAAACTGCCCCATAGCGAACAATAGGTTCACTTAATGATCATAATATTCACCTAACAAGCATTGTGTTGACTTAACAGCCATCACAAAAAAGGTCATAATGAGATCTGGTGTCATGATATGACCAACACAATTATAACCATAATTGCAGGGCTCAAATTACAGTTTGTAACCTGAGGACTACCGGTAGTAAGTTCTCTCCTCAATGCTTTATGTATTTATACTTTGGATGACTGTTGTGATTACAATTTGTCTTCTTCGGAAAATGGAGATATCTAACTACAATGCAGTTAGAATTCTTAGGTTTTATTGGAAAAGTATCACAGATGGTAGATGGATACTTACGTAATTTACAGATCTTGCAAAAGGAGCCCTTCTTCATATAAGTTAAGGCTGGCAGTCTTTGATATCTAGGGTTGGACTAAGCGAAGGGTCTTCAAACTTGGCAAGTTTAAGACTTGTGGACTTAAATTCCCAGCATTCCTGAGCTAACATGACTGGAGGAGGAATTCTGGGAGTTGAAGCTGTCAAGTTTGAAGATCCCTGGATTAAGCATTTGTGGATGCCCAAGGCTAAAGTGCGATCATAATGCAGAATGGTGGGTTCAAAGTTTAAACATCTGTCTGAAGATTTTGGAATTTTATCTCTGATTTATACATTATACTGACTCTGCTGGTACTTTGCTTGTGTGGAGTGACCATTGAAAGTTACAATGGCACTGAAAAAAGTGACTTATGACCATTTTTCACACTTACGACTATAGCAGCATCCCCACAGTCATGAGAGACCAGGCGAGGAGATGTGTGCCTTGATGATATTGAGTTGGCCACGCCCAGCCAATAACATGACCACCAAGCCACATCCACCCAGTCACATGAGCACAAAGCCACACCCACCAACTAAGCCACGCCCACAGAACCAGTTGTTAAAAAATTTGAATCCCACCCCTGTGCAACGGTCATAAGTATGAAAAACAGTCGTAAGTATTTTTTTTCAGTGCTTTGTCGAACTTCAAATGGTCACTAAACAAATGGTTGTAAGTCAAGGACTATCTTTATTTGAAATTGCAGGAGCATTTTAGTAGATACCACCTTAAAATTACTGTAATGTGTGTATATTAAGAGCCATGATGTCTCATGGTTATGTAATGCTAACCCTCAAGTTCAGAGATTCTCTTAAGAAAAATGATAAATTTGCTAATTATTTCAACTTGCCATTGTATTTATTGGCTTTGCTATATTCTGTGAAGCCTTTTGTGCACTTTGCTTTTCTTAGCCTACCTGTTGCTTTGTGATTTAGTGACTTGCATTTGATTACCCCAGATAAGTTGTTACTTTTACTGTATATCATGAATATTTCAGTCTGCCAATTGGTTTATTTTCTATTTTTGTTGGGAGTGAGAGAAGTGCTTTTCTGTTACAACATGTAGCATCATCAAACAGTGACAAAAAGACTTTGTAAAATTGAAAAAAGGAAGCTAAAAGAGAGACATGTGGCTTTAATTCTTCTTTTAAAAGCATCTTCCCCCGCCCACCGTGCCTAAAGACATATAAACAGGATAGGCTATAAAATTCTTGAGGTGTAAAAGATGACTATAAACAAAGAACTGTTTGTCCTGAAAGCCAGAAAGTTTTCCACTGGATAAATGTTTATCCAGAATATCACAAAACTATTTTGAATTTCCAAGTGAACTCTTGAGAGTTGAAAATGTAAGATCCTTGCTCTTAATTGTTTTTTATCACTGTTGTGATTTATTCTTCTTCCAAGGTATCGTGCTTAAAATGGAATTGGGCCTCAGCCCCTGTGAACCACCTAGTTCTTTGCATGAGAAGGAAATTGTAGAGTGACTCTTAAGCCCATCAGGAGAACTTTCTGTATCAGATAGCCCATATGCCTTAGTTAGGTCTTTATCTTGTTTTTTCTCTCTGGGTGTTTCAGCCTAATTTTATGGTATTGCAGGAGTCAGTAACACAATTCCTCAAGGCACCAAGTTCCTGTGACATCCCTTTATGACATGCATAGAAAAGCTCCCTCCCCATTTAATACTTAAAAATGGCTGAAATAGCATGAGATTGCCAAGTTCTTCAAGACTTTGTTATTGCACAAGGCTGTTTGGGGAGAAGTTCTTTTGAAGATTTCATCATGCTTTTATAAAAAGTTTGATACCTTGTAAGTGGGATCTCTAATAGCAATAGCACTTAGACTTACATTCCACTTTACAGTGCTTTACAGCCCTCTCTAAGTGGTTTACAGAGTCAGCTTATTGCCCCCAATAATTTGGATCCTCATTTTACCCATCTCGGAAGGATAGAAGGCTGAGTCAACCTTGAGCCTGGTGAGATTTGAACTGCCAAATTGCAGGCAGCCAGCAGTTAGCAGAAGTTTCCCCCATATTAAATTACCCAGGCCTTGTGCTCTGGAAAGGACACTCCAGCTTTGCATACCGCATTGAAAC